ACTCCATACAAAAATCACCGGTTATCGCTAAAGTACGGTCAAAGTTTGGTGGTGCAACTCAGCCTTACCCTATCGCTTTTTTATACGAAACTGACGATAAGCGGCGAATAAATGGCAAATAAATGTTGATTTCGTTAACTTTGAAGTGTTCCTTTAACACCTTTCTTACGAATACTTACATGTAAGGCAATTGATTTGAGATAAGAAGTATGTTTTGATAAAAATATTGTCGATTAAAGTAGCTTTCTTTGGACTTGGTTCTAAATACGTTGCATTAAGTTTAAACCAAAGTTGCTTTTTAGTATAACAGCAAATCGACTTGGTTTAAGAAGGACGTCATTTTTCCTCAACAATTTTAGGGACATCACAGCAATCCAGTTTTGGAAATTGAAATGGACTGTCGTATGAATAGTATGAACACATGAATTATGTGTGTTTAATTCGAATTACAATTTCGAACGGATCGGTTTTTTGCGGGACTTAGCAAACACGATGTTCGTGTCAGTGGCGGCGTAGCATAGGTTGGCACCCGGGGCGGCACCCCCCGTCCCCCCGTCATAAGTCCTAAGGCACCCCCTGGTACCCCCCAGGATGGATTTTGGAGTTAAGTACCTACCGATTCGAAGATTGAAAGACAANCCCGTATCATGACATAGACCGCAGATTTGCCATGCAGATGTGCCAGTGAGTACTAATCTGCGCGACTTCTGTCACCCCCTGATGCTTGGCACCCGGGGCGGACCGCCCCCACCGCCCCCCCCCTTACGCCGCTACTGGTTCGTGTGAATGCTAGTATTGTTAGTATTAAAAATTAATGTATACTACTAAATTTAATTTAATTTAATTTATTCATAAAAAAACGGCATTCTGTAAACAATAGTTCCTGCTCTGTATGTCTCTGTAGGAACAAGTCCTATTTATGCAGGATTAAATAAGTAGGCGCATTGCAAATACACCGGAAAACATCACTAATTTATACAAAGCCATCAAATAATTCCGAATTCTCTTCACACCTCCTAAAATGTAGACCGTGTACGTCTTTGCCTACTCTAGCCATAAAAAATTGCAAAACAAACATCAGAGCACGCGCCGGCGCAGCGAACAATGAATGAACCGAGAGGAACCGGTCACATGCGTGAGAAACATGCATTATTAGGCCCGTTTTCCACTAAAACGATGATAAAACGAGACAAGACATAATATAAGCAAGATTGGATAGTTTTGACACAACTTTGGATTCGAAGACACAACTTCTATAAAGACACGCTTCATTCTAGCCTTTTAAATCGATTTGGTTTTCAATTTGTTGAATAATTACACTTTAGTAGCTTTGAAGCCAATAAAAGGTATACAAAATACTGCACATGTAGGTACAATTAAACGCTGTTGAAACATTTTTAAACAAATAAAACTTTAAATAAAATGTTACAGGTTTAGTGTCTTTTGAAAGCTCTTAAAAAGAATGTCAACTGACTGTGATCTCAAGAACACAATTTCGTTATTCACAGGTCTCATCTTCGCACAGATTCAGTGGAAATGATTGAGCAGAGCGGAGAAGGGAAGTAAAATGTCTGCATACAAAATATGTCGCACTGAGCGGGACAGAGTAGATCAGGAACGAAAAGACCGCTCAGAAAGAGAAAAAATCTTCCCACATGTTCGCTCCGCTCCTTTAGTGGAAATGTCCTGCGCGCTATGTCGCTTGTCTCTTCACATCTCGTATCGCATCCACCTTAGTGGAAAACCGCCATTAAACAGTGCCTCTGTGTCAGCTGTGTACATTGACACAATCTCTTGTAAGCAATCAGGAACTTAATTGGGCTGTTATATTCTGATATGCAATTGTTTCTTGCGATTTAACATTTTGTTAACTTGTTATTGCATCATCAGCTGAAGAATTATTTAAACTTTAGGGAAAAAGCGATGGCATGAATTCGACGATTGTCTGACCTGGTAGTTCACATTCCAGACTACTAAGCCAAAGTTCGCGGGTTCAACCTAGAACATAAAATTAATACTACGATTTACGGCTTTTATGGTTTGTATTCCGTTCCATATTCTCGAAAAACCCACGTAAAAAGTTCTCAAAATAGATGCCTCAATATTTGGCGATTACAATTGGATTACCTTTCATTTATACTGCGTACAGTCAGCGTCAAATATTTCGTGACACCAAAAGTGGTCAAAAAGTTGACAACCTTTTTCCAATTTTAGGCCATGTATTCATTAGGCAACATTTGTTGATAAACACTGTTTATAAACTGTTCATAAACAATGTTTCATCATCTCTGTAAACAGTTTTTAAACAGTCCATAAACATTGGTGATGAAACATTGCTTATGATACATGTTGCCGTGCTCCCCGCCAAGAGTGGAGAGCAAGTGTGGACGGCCAAGTTTCAGAAACCTGTGCTTATGGCAAACTTGTTTCACACTAGTCATAAACAGTTGTATCAACAAATGTTGCCTAATGAATACATGGCTTTATTGTAACAAAGATATGTTGCGAACTTTTTGGCCACTTTGGGTGTCACGTACTATTTGACGCTGACTATACAGTAAAGGAGTCAAACTACAGATCAGGAGCTTGTATCCGAAATAATTTGGTTATGAAAGATCCTCAAGTAGTTTTTGAGTTCAAGGTAACGAACATACAAGTTCACCATACTTACAAAGACTAAAAACGGAATAAACACCTTGACCCTAACTTTATTTACACAACTTCATAACCACCCCAGCAAAATACTCTGGTATAATATGTAAAAATATTTCCTATTAAGTATTCAGTATGTATATTATTTGATGTTGAATTCACTCAAGCAACTAATTAACATTGATTGATATTCAACTTGAAATAAAAAGTGATAATTTGACATTGAAAATCAGCGAGGATCAAACTTAGAAGATTGGGCTAGTTGTTGATAATCAAAAAGTAGACAAAGATGCCTGAATTTCTTCTGTCATTTCTACTGGGTCGTATAAAAGCGCCTTTTAAAGTCGACTTGCATAAAATAAATAAGTTTTATGAGTCCTATGAGCACCAAAGCCATACGTTGTCGCTAAAATGGTGGTAGAGTTTTAATGGAATTCGTAATAATTGTTCTAAAATTGGCCTATTTATGAATATGATGTCGGTATATTTGTACAATTTTAACGACATAATGTCAATGACAAAAGAAATACACAGCTTTATAGTTAAAAAAGAATGTCGAGAATATTTTAAATCCAATGCCAAGCCTTTTACAATGAGAAGTGATGATTTATGTATTAAACAAATTGATCTAAAAACATCATTCATGGTTTGTGAACAAAATGTATTACATTTTATAAATTAGATAAACGTTGGAGCTTATTTAGACAAATTAAAAACACACGACTTGTATTTTCTTAATGAAGAAAGCGTGACTGGGGAATTTCATTTTGAATTTAATAACATATTAATATTGTTTAATGAATGAATGTGGAGAACGATGCATTATAGTTAAATTGTATTAGCACTAATTTGATTAATATTTTGTTCTTTGATAATAGACAAGAAAACAGTCTATTCCTAGATCTTAGTAACATCCTAAGCATAGAGTATGAGATCCATCTTACTTTGACTTTAACAAACGTCAAAAATCTGTCAAACGTCATACAAAAAACAGCGGTTATTGAAATAGTTACCCGTAAAATGGTGCAATCCAGCCTTAGTCTACACTTGTTACACAGCATTGACTGACTGACTTTGGACTTTGGTCAGAATCAAGAAGAATCATCAAGCAAGATTTAGCAAATACAACAACATTATAGTAAAATAGCTATTCCAAACATATCCATCACTACGATTGCACTTTGAACATGAAACACACCTTTTCAGGTGGTATTAAGTTACGTTATTTTGTAAAAGTGATAGTAATGAATTCAATCTCAATCGTCGGCGTCAGATCTCCAATTACACTACTTTCAAATATACTCTTAATTACTCGTACACTGAATACCTTATCATAGTATCGTGTTATCAAATGAGTTTACGTAATAGATTTGAATTGTAATTAATTTATTCAAATTGAAAATCTATAAGATTTCTCATTAAATGAGTTAAGTAATGAGATTAATTAATAAGGGATACGGTTGCTTTGATTGTTAATTTCTTATGGTAGTTAGGTATAACAAAACTTTAACGTTTTAAAAAAGCTTTAAATTTAACGAAATCATAATAGTCCTGCTATTTTTTTGTAATTATTTATTGAAATCAGTACATTTCACTCGATATTAAGTACTTAATTATAATAAATAAAATATAAATAGTAATACATGAATAAGTATGTTTGTGCCCAATTATCATAAATAAGTCGAAAATAGCGTTTATTATATTATGTAAAATGTTTTCAGAGGTAAAGTGATTTAACACGAAAATACACGATGTGTAATAAAAAAAGTTTAACTCATTGTAATTATTGCATTTTGTATACAAATCATAATTCCCGGCAATGACCTACATTCCAAAAGTGCTTCTACGTTTGTTGTATAAACTTATTATAATTATCTTTACCTACGATATACTAATACTTACATATATTTACGTTTTTGAAAATTTTACTAGTTCTTACAAGTACGTAATTGAATAAAGCAGACTTCAAAGTATAAAATATGTAATATTGCATTCGCTAAAGCATTTGATCACAAAATCCATTAACTCTACAAGGTATGAATACAAAACCAAAACAGTTCCCTTGATTGTTCAACCAACAATGCTAACAAAGTCCCAGTGGTAATTGGCCCAAGTCCTAGCTCGAGATGTGATCTAAAGACAGACTAGCGAGTCGCCGGACCGATCGCTGGACCGGTCTAGCCGAATCTCCAAATCGTCGGATAAGGAGCAAGCGCCGCTCGATCCGAACCCCTCTAAAGCGAAAGTGTAACATAGTCCTACTGAACGTCGCCATTTTTTTTCTTCGCTCGGCCGCTCTTACGGCATATATATAGCGAGGGCACAGACCAACACGCATCATTCGCATTCAGGAGTTCGCTGTCTTCAGTGCAACCACAAGTGCAGCATCATGAAGCCTATGGTGTGTTCATTTACCATACTAAGTGCAGTGCAGTGACAGTGTTAAAGTTAAATCCTTAAATTCTGGACTTAAAACCCCATGCCCTACTTCGGGTTACACAACAAGGAAATTGCGTGTGCTTTGTGTCGCTACTCGACCACTCATTAAATCACTCATAGTTAATTACAAAACTGATTTTAACTTCCAACTCCAATTACTGACAGTGTCCTAATTTTAAAGTTGATTGGATATGCAGAACTAAATAAATATTTTTATTCACAGCTCGTGGCCGCCAGTCTGGTGGCTATTCTGGCCTTCACTCATGCCGAGGAAGCCAAGAAAGCAGAAAAAGAAGTGGCAGTGACCGACAACAAGGAGGCGGCGACCGATGACAAGAAACACGAGAAGAGAGGACTCTTCGACATTGGACTGGGCTACGGACACGGAGGGCTCGACGGAGGCTACGGCGGTGGATTCGGCGGTGGATTCGGCGGGGGCTATGGAGGACACGAGGAACACCACAAGACCATCACGGTCGTCAAGAACGTGCCTGTCCCCTACCCCGTCGAGAAACACGTCCCCTACCCCGTAGAAAAGAAGGTCCCTGTACCAGTCAAGGTGCACGTTCCCGCTCCCTACCCTGTAGTCAAACACGTGCCCTACCCCGTCAAGGAGATCGTCAAAGTACCCGTCCACGTACCCCAACCCTACCCCGTCGAGAAAAAGGTCCCCTACCCCGTCCATGTGCCCGTCGACAGGCCCGTCCCCGTCAAGGTATACGTGCCCCAGCCCTACCCCGTTGAGAAACACGTGCCTGTCCCCGTCAAGGTCCCAGTGCCCGCTCCTTACCCAGTAGAGAAGAAGGTGCCCTACCCCGTCAAGGTGCCCGTCCATGTGCCCGCTCCCTACCCAGTCATCAAGGAGGTGCCTTACCCCGTGAAGGTCCCCGTCGACAGGCCCTACCCCGTCCATGTCCCCAAGCCCGTGCCTTACCCAGTCGAGAAGCCCGTGCCTTACCCCGTAGAAAAGCCAGTGCCCTACCCCGTCAAGGTCCCCGTCGACCGTCCTTACCCCGTGCACGTTGAGAAGCCTGTGCCTTACCCCGTCAAAGTCCCCGTGCCCGCTCCCTACCCCGTTGAGAAGCACATCCCCTACCCCGTCGAGAAGCACGTGCCTTACCCCGTGAAGGTCCCCGTCGACAGGCCCTACCCCGTCCACATCGAGAAGCACGTCCCCTACCCGGTCGAGAAGCCCGTGCCTTACCCAGTCAAGGTCCCCGTCCCAGTCGTAGTCGGTCATGAACACGGACACGAGTATGGTCATCATGGTAGCTACTAGAGGCTGCAGGAAGCAGTAATCTGAATGTGATATATAAATGTAAGCTTAGCACTAATTCGAACGTGGGGCAAGAGACACGCCACCAAAGGCGGTAGTGGTCACACCAACCAGACACCTGGGCGGTCGTGCCTCTTACCCCATGGAGACGCACTGATAAAATACTCCTTATAAATAGTCCTTTTTTGTTGTGACTCTTTAAGCTTCGTCTGAACGTTATGTTTGAGTTTATGTACCTGTTATTTTAAGTTACATTGAAATTTTGTTTCTCTCTGAATTTTGTACGAAATGATGATGTAAAATAAAATTTGGCTATGCCAAAAATTAATAATAAGTGGTCTTTTCCTCTATTGTTTTCGGCGTTATTATACGCATCGTGGGCATTTACGAAATGTGTAATAAAGCGACCTAGATCTACATAGCATCGTACCTGCATAGTATTGCGCAACGCAAGTATATTTTCATTCCTGACAATCAACACGTTGTAAACGATCTCACTTTCGTAATATAGTCATGTTTAAATTGTTGTGGGCACATGGAAGGCATTATCTCACACATTTGCATCGATTATGCGTATTACGCTACAATTTTCTAACTAAACCAATAGGTTCTGGTTGCAAAACGCGTCTCGCGGCTAGGAAAGCTGCGATAATCGACTGTGCTACATTTGCCTGTTTGTCCTTAAAGATAAAACAAGTAATGTTCAACAAAAAGTTAGTAAATGATACTGGACATGTTTGCAGGCATAAACTTTATAGGCAGCCTAACGATCCATCAGTGGGACGGCCCGCGCTGTGTCGTTACAAAACTGGCATTATTAGAAGCCAGTAATTTTGTCCGTTTGCAACAGGGACCGGGGTGGTACCCATGACTTCTTAGCGGTCGTTGCGAAAATGCAAACTAAGGTTGTTAAGAGCATTCGGATATGAATCATTAGCGTCGCCTTCGGTTACCAACGTGTTCATTCGAAAATTTTAGTCTTTAATCAATTGAGTGTAACACATTATATTCACTTTTTTTGTTTTACTAATTTTAAACAGCATACTTCAATTACATTGATTGTTTAATAAGTTACGAAATACAGTTATATCAACGATTTGATCGTAATACTGGAGTGCAATTATTTTAGGAAATTAAAACACTTATGCTGGTCATGTAACCTCTTTTTTATTCACTACACAATACTGGGCATGTACATAATTGCATTCAAATAGAGGTTTCGGATATATCCGAGAATTATTTCCATTGGTTTCGGATATCAGATTCAGCACATCATTAGGTATGTCGCGTTTTACATAACTTTTGTTCTAGCCGGTTGCCGCAAAGCAATGGCCGCAATGATTGAGTAGGAACATGTTTGACGATGATTAATTTGAGCGCTGGAGCGAACAAGTGATTTGTAAACATTTCACAAGTTCCAGTACCTCAACTTACCATAATATGGTATTAATTTCAAGTAATATTTGAATACCAAGAAACCAGATGATGTGAAACCCACAAACTCGTTCTTTTAGGTCCAGAACAGACGGTGAAACGCAACTGCAACGAAACTGCAACTGCTAGTTACTTTTGAGTTGCATCTAAGTTTCTGCCATAGCGTCCGTTGAGAGACCACACATGACGCGACCAGTTTCAAACTTTCAGATTCAGTTTCATTCATAAGAATCATCAGAAAGTTGCAGTTTCGTCGCAGTTGCGTTTCACCGTCTGTTCTGGGCCTTAGTCGTGAGGTTTCAGCAGAGTTTTACTCTTCCCTTGAAATTCCCGTAAGAGGCGACTAAGGGAGAAATGTTAGAACATTAGGATTCCCCACACTTCAACACATCTGGCCAACGAGGGGATTGTAGAGTCGTGTTCCTGCAGTGGATACTAAATAACCTGATGGCGATGATGGTGACAACTGAATACGTCAACATATCATGTTGATAGTGCTTTGGCTTGAAATACCTAAGATCACTACCATAATTTTCTAGCAAGTATAGAGTAAAAGTGGGCAGGCCTCCTACTAGGTGGACCGACGATCTGGTAAAGGTCGCGGGAAGAGCCTGGATGCGGGCAGCGCAGGACCGTTCATTGTGGAAAACCTTGGGGGAGGCCTTTGTCCAGCAGTGGACGTCATTTGGCTGAAAAAAGAAAGAGGAGTAAAAATAGGTCTTATTTACTCATGAAGAAACAGAGCTTGAGAAATAGGCCGCCTAGTTAAACTGACAGTTACATAAAAAATGTCGCGCACTGATGATGTTTTAGAAAATGCACCTATGATGTTGCAAACATTACGATTACCCAAAATATGTACAAAGCACAGCATCTAAATACAATAACTCAAAAAGGTGACTGACTGACATAGTGATCTATCAACGCACAGCCCAAACCACTGGACGGATCGGGCTGAAATTTGGCATGCAGGTAGATGTTATGACGTAAGCATTCGCTAAGAAAGGATTTTACGAAACTCCACCTCTTAGGGGGTAAATCGGGATCCACAGGTACGAAGTCGCGGGCGGCCGCTAGTTATAGTATAAGTTTTATTACAAATGATCTTGTGAGTAACTAAAGCTTCATTTGTCTGCACTATTTATAGTATAACCATAAAATCAACAAAAGATAAAGTACCATGATGACTTAGTTTCCGAGAGGTCATTATGTGGGTCAGCAGTATTACGTATGTAGGGTTTACGGGTATATCGTGTTTGAGATCAACACTGAGGCAAGCGTGGACATTTTACCGAATTGTTCATTGTTATATTTACTTCACTTTTATCATAGAAAGCGAGGTATTTAAAAGGTAGTAAATGTTACAAGAATTACTAGAATTATAACATGATGAAATTTTGCAGTACAAGTCAGGTATTTCACTACAATCGCACCTGATGTCAAGTGAGATGTTTTAGGTGCTTTTGGTAAGTCGGGAAATTCTTTGTGCATACCCACTGGAAACTGGAGACAACCAGTGGGTTATATGGGACTCTCTCCCCGCTAGAAGAGCGGGGTCTTCCCACTAAAACCTGATGGTGCAACTCAGCCTTAGAGTTGAGCTTTTCTATGATCTTTTTGCGCAATAAATCTATCTACCTACATATTATTGTTTGTTACTTAAAAGTAAACCTAGTTATAAATAGCCACACAATGTGAAATGTGTCATCATACAACGAACTAGTTGTCTATTTAAAGTGATGTTTATGTCTGTGTTGGCATTATCGAAAATGTCTATATCTATTAATAGATTCCTATTTCGACAACGTGAATGCCAATTCTAGCCTTTATTGAACTTGACTAGAAGTTTAAATAGCAATGAACGCATTATGGCGTGACGGCTTAGTAGCATAGCATTCTTCTTTGAAAGCAATGGGTGCCAGGCTTGATTCCTGGATGTTGTTTTTTTAGGTTGGTACGTGTACGAGTATACGGGCAGATAACCGCAGAATGTACCTTGTGATTATACGATGTAAGCATTTCTCAGTTTGTTGAATCTATACTAATGTTATAGAGCTTAAGAGATTGTTGATTTGAATTTATTTTGTGTTGGATAGCCCTTTTATCGAGGAAGGCTTTAGGCTATATAACATCACCCTACAGCCAATAGGGGCTGAGCAGTAAAATAAAATGTTACAAAAACGGAAAATATTATTCAAACGTACGAAGTTGTGGGCACAACTACTAGTACTTTAAATCAAATCAAATCACTTTATTTGATTAAATGTCAAAGAATATAAGTAAAAATTATGTCGAAGAATATGGAAAAAGCACAAACACATTTACCATCATTGGCATACAAATATATTTTTTAAAGAAATGTTAATACTAATTATGTTTAATGTGTGATCTAAATAGTTTTATTTTTATACTTTATATTATAGCGAATGGCATTTCATAACACCGCATCTTTAAACCTCAAGGACTCTATATAAATACAATCGCGTACTTTTTAAAGGCAATATGTTGGATTTCGCAATGCAATTGGAAACGGATGGGTTATAAAATAAAGCTTCCTTTTAATGACGTTTTAATTATTTAAGCGGTTTATAATTATTATATGATTGTAATAGATAGGCTATTAAAGTGTAGATAAAATTTACCTGTTTTTAGTATACACTAGCTGTGCCCGCGACTTCGTGCGCAACATTTTTCTTTACTGCTCCGGCCCTATTGGCTGTAGTATGATGTTTTATATCCTAAAGCCATCCTTATTGATAAATGGGCTATCCAACACAAACATTTTCAAATTTTTTTCAAATCGGACCAGTAGTTCCTGAAATTAGCGCGTTCAATCAAACAAACAAACTCTTTAGCTTTATAAATATTAGTATAGATTAACTGAAACCAAAATACTGAACTTTGTCTCTAGAGACACTATTCTAGTAGATATTAGTTCCACTATGTGCATGCTCTAGATATTATATTACAATACAAGCGTGGAATATTGCACAGCAGTTCAGAGATCACAATTAAAGAAAGGTACATGTCAAAGCTAATATCCTACTAATATTATAAATGCGAAAGTTTGGATGTCTGGATGTTTGTTACTCTTTCACGCAAAAACTACTGCATGGATTTAAATGAAAGTTTACAGTATTATTGTTTATAGTCCAGAATAACATATAGGCTATAATTTATGACGATATATTGTGACAAACGAAATTTCACGCGGGTGAAGCCGAGGGCAAAAGCTAGTAGGTACTAACATATGTAGGTACTTTTTATTGACTTTTTGTCATATAAATTGATTGATTAGCAAGAAAGAGACGATGGTTGGAGACTTTGAAGGTCGCTAGACTTCTAATTAAAATACGTCCGTCCGTATATACAATTTGGAGATTTGGATACGCCATTTTATATAAAAATACTTGTAATTCAACAACTATGAAATAATAGTTAGATATGCAGACGTTCTATGACATGAAAAAAACATTTTGTTATAGCAAAAAGAAGTAAGATGGACTCAGCCATAGAGATTATACATCAGGTGAGATGCAAGCCAAGAGTTTCTTCTTTATGATTAGGAAAATATTGGTTGACGCCCCCAAACTTTGTGATCGGTGCAGTTGCGGGTTTGCATCCCGTCGGTGACTTTTATGTGTTATATTAAAGTACGAGTATGTTTTGTATTCATAAAATATGGTGCCTTAAAAACTAAGCAGACTGAGAAAGATAGTTAGAGTGGAAAATAAACATGTGGGTTACGTTATGACCATCATTTTACTATTAAGTCTTTAGTACTCAATTATTTTATTTAATATTAAATTATTGTACGATACCACCTACATCATACAAAGAACAAACGTAGTTGAC